AAATATGACAAGTGGCTGATTATCATATAAAGAGCTTCTACAAATCAATAAGGAAAGAAAGAAAGATAAGCAACTGGAAGAGGAAAAAGAAATATAAACAGGCTAGAACTATATGAAGTTAGTCAACCTCATAAGTAGAAAATGCAATTTAAAATAATAAGATACCATTTTTATCTAGCAGTTTGACAAATATTTTTAACATTTGCCAAAACCCAGCTTCCACAATACCTGATGCTATGGGGAAACAGAGGCACTCATACACTACTGGTGAGTAAAAAGTGGTACTCTTGTGAAAGGGCATTTGACAATAAATAAAAACAAATTTTAAAGTACCTTTGTTTGTGTTCTTTTCTCTTTTTTTGGCAGCTGGCCAGTACGGGGTCTGAACCTTTTACACTGGTGTTATAACACTGCTCTCTAACCAACTGGGCTAACTGGCCAGCCCTAAAGTATATGTGTTTGTTCCAACAATGCTTGTGGCAAAACAAAATTGGACATGATCTAAATGTCCAAGAACACAGAAGTGGCAACTAAATAAGATATGATACATGCATTCAGTTCAACAGAATATAGTAGTTAACATCTAAGACATTAAAAGAAAACAAGGTACAGAATGACAGGTTTAGTATGATAGTATTTGTGTAAATAAAAATGAAGGATATAAACAAACACTTGTTTAGGCATTCAAATTTTCTGAAGGGATGGCCAGAAATTTAACTTTGGTTGTTTCTTGAATGAAAGACTAAGAATAAAGAGAAGCACGTAATTTTAAACTTTTTAATGTCATGAATTATATTTTTTATTATGTGCATTTTATTTAAAAAACAGAATTTTTAAAATAAAGAACAATTTAAGTGCACTATAAATATTTGCTTTTGATTGAAGCAATTACAAATAACATATTCTTATATATCTACTATATAACAAGCTTTGCAGCAGGGGTTGGGTCTTAAGCAAGTAACTATTAAATTAAATGATTGAGAAATTCAATTTACTTTCTACAAACATTTATTCTATATACAGACAGCTATTTTATCACAAAGACAAAGTGAAAGAGTACTGTTTTTCTTCTCACCTACTTACTCCCAATCCCTTCATACTAAAGAATAAATTCTCTCAGTAAATACTTTATTCCTTGAAATTATTTCACCCAATTTATTATCATATAACTAAAGAACATAGTTTTTATAAATTAAGAGTGACAATTGTTAAACTAAAATAAGAGTGAATTTAACAATAAGGTTCTTTCAAAAAAGGTGGGCTCAGACACTAGGTCCACCAACAATTAATATATAGTATTAAATGGTTATGGTAAAGTCACAACTTTTCAGGCCTGGATTTCTTCACATATGAATACTATCAATTTCATAAGGGTGCCATGTAAAAAAATTCAACTTTACTATTTATTCTTTGTTTTCAGAGATGAAGTGATATAGGCAATAGCCCATATTAAAGAAAAAAAAAGCTAGTGATTCCTATTTAACAAAGAATATTAATATTACAATTTTATTTAAAGTACCTATTCTCTTTGCAAACTTTCTGAGAAGCTCACCAAATTCCGTTATATTTTGTAATTTCCTTGAAATATATAACCCACAGAGTAAGGAACAGACTAAAAATTAAAGAAGGTTGGTAATATAAATGCATGTGTGTCTCCATATCATCCATTTCATTGTACCTAAGACCACCTCTCAGATTCTGCTGCCTCATTCATCTTTTTTACCTTCTCTACTACTTTACTTCTCTACTACAATTTACCTTGTGAATACTATCACTGGTCAATTCCAAATTTCTCCTTTCCAAGTATTCAAATTGTTTCATTTTCCTACTCATTTTTTTGACTACATACCACAATGAAAGGTCTACATGCAAATACAGCTATAACAAAAAACATCTACAATGAACATTGCTATTCTCCTGAAAAGATGCAATGTTAATGTTTATTAAAATTTTTCTTTTCTCCACATAAGCCATGCACTATTATTATAGTCCATAATTCAAGACAGAATAACTACATTTAAATCTACAGAAACTGGCATAGTACTCTAGGAATACTACTATTGAGGAAACAATAAAGATAAAATTCCATTCCTCCTCATTTTCACATCAACTATCAACATATTATTTTCAGAGTAAAGCACTGCAACTAATGAGCATCTGACAATACACAAAACAAGGGAAGAGGCAGAAAGGCCAAGGAAACACATTTCAAGATTATAAAGCACATTTCCATTCACTAGTCCATCCCAACATGAATCATGATCTATCTCAAAAGAGAAATGAAACACACAAAATATTAAACTAGGTACAATTTCAAAACATACTATAATGTACCATACATCTGCCAAAATACCGAGGCTTTCTGTTCAAAATATCTCCTTAAAATTGTCTCTAAGAACGGAGAGTAGTAGCTTCATTATCAGCACTTCCAAATAAGTCCTCTATGTTTTTCCAACTTAATATTCAACTAAGTTTTTGTTTTCAAACTTTGACTATTCAAGGGGGGGAGAGAATGTATGAAAAATGATGGAAAAATACTAAGATTTTCCTTAAATACATATCATAAATATATGTAAGTCAGATTTAGATATTAATAGAAATTCAAAGTATACCTTTTACTTTTATTAGTAATGTAAGTTCTATCATAAGAAAATGTAACTTCTCTGAGTGAGTTAATAAAATGTGTAATTATTTTTGTTTTAGCATACCCATTTTTAGATTTTAACTACAATCATTCCCTTAACTGACCTTCATTTAACTATTCTGCCTTAGCCTACATCTTTTTTTTTTGCCCTTTATTAAATATGCCCATGGCGATTACATCAAGCTAAAAAGCTTCTGCACAGCAAAAGAAACAATCGACAGAGTAAAAAAACAACCAGAGTGGGAGAAAATATTTGGTAAATATACATCTGACAAAGGATTAATATCCAGAATATACAAAGAACTCAAACAACTTTACAGCAAAAAAACAAATAACCCAATTTAAAAATGGGCAAAGGAGCCGAACAGGCATTTCTCAAAGGAGGATATATGAACGGCCAACAGACACATGAAAAAATGCTCAGTATCACTCAACATCCAGGAAATGCAAATCAAAACCACACTGAGATACCATCTCACTCCAGTTAGGATGGCTAACATCCAAAAGACTGAGAATGATAAGTGCTGGGGAGATTGCGGAGAAAAAGGAACTCCCATCCACTGTTGGTGGGGCTGCAAAATGGTGCACCCTTTATGGAAAATGATATGGAGGTTCCTCAAACAATTACATATAGATCTACCATATGACCCAGCGATTCCACTGCTGGGAATATACCCAGAGGAATGGAAATCATCATGCTGAGGGGATACCTGTACTCCAATGTTTATTGCAGCTCTATATACAACAGCCAAGAGCTGGAAACAGCCCAAATGTCCATCATCTGATGAGCAGATAAGGAAACTGTGGTACATCTACACAATAGAATACTACTCTGCTATAAAAAAGAACAAAATACTACCATTCGCAACAACATGTATGGACTTAAGAGAAAATTATACTAAATGAAAGAAGTCAGGTACAGAAAGAGAAATACCACATGTTCTCGCTTATTTGTGGGAGCTAAAAATTAATAAATAAATAAACACACAAATAAGGGAGAGGGAGACAGAATAACCACGAAAATTCCTTGAACTATTTAAGTCACGAGAACAGATACACTGTGGGGGAGGGGGGTAGAGAGGAATGGGTAAAGGGGCATGAAAATCAACTACAATGTATTTTGAGAAGAAAAAGAAAAAAATAAATATGCCTATGGTATTCTGACCACTCTTAACTAGTATGCTATTTTTGTGTAATCAAACACTTCTGATCCCACTAGTTGTACATGCTTAACAAGTCAGTTGTTTGTTCTGATCCCACTAGTTGAGTTACATGCTTAACAAGTCAGTTTGTTTATGCCAGTTTACTTGTTATGGTCCTTACAAAACTGAATTAAACATTACTTAAGTCTATGGACTACAAGTACAAAAAGGAACAGATGTTTCTATATAAACTTAGTTGAATGTAAACTAAGTAGAATGACTCAACATAGGTGAGTTATTCTTTTAAAATGTGTTGAATAAGACAGAGGTGAGATAACTGCAAAATATCAGGGAAAATCATAAAAAGCCAGAAAGAGTCTATACTTAGGGTTTTTCAAAAGTATCTTTAAGCTTTATTCCATTTTAGAGAAACCAAACTGGAAATTGCAGATCATGCTTTATGGATATTGTTTACACAAGAACAACTTCTCTCAACTTCAGCTCCACAAAGAGATGGCATTAGCTCTACATCAAAAAGTTGGCAAATAAATGGGCCCAGCCCGTGGTGCACTCGGGAGAGTGCGGCGCTGGGAGTGCAGCGACGCTCCCGCCGCAGGTTCAGATCCTATATAGGAATGGCCAGTGCGCTGGCTGGCTGAGCGCGGTGTGGGCGACACCACACAAAGAGTTGCAATCCCCTTACTGGTCACGAAAAAAGACAAAAAAAAAGTTGGCAAATAAATATATATTTATATGAGAATTCAAAAAGTTCATGGAAAGATTCATATTATCTTTTTAAAAAACTTTTAGCTCTTCTCGTGGATACAGATCGTATTATCTTTTAATTCTATTTTTGAAGTACATTGTATATTTTAAGTTAAAATTTTTAAATGCTAAGATATGTATATTTTGTTTCTTGTAATTTTCCTGCTTTAACTTTTTCAATAACCTATTCACTGTCCCAATCTCATCAGATATGACGGTTTCTAAAATCGTTTTTCTGAAGCCCTTAAATTGTCTATACAAGACAATAGTATGTAGTAATAAGCACTCTAAAATAACTTTATGGAAAAATGTATTAGAATGTATGCTCCACAAGGGCAAAGATTTCTTTCTATTTTGTTCACAGGTGTATCCCAAATACCTAGAACAGTTCCTGGTGTACAGCTGATGCACAGTAAATACTTGTTGAATGAGGAAGAACAGGAACTTACCGTGATGACAGCCTTGCTAAGACAGATGGATCCCCTGCAGCCATACTCTGTCTCATCTTCAGATTTGTAGTAACTCAGAGTATTATTTTTCAAAACCACCCAACGATCCTGCCACCCATGAATGTAGTTTGTCCACTGAGGGTGGGAAGGAGGAGGGAGGGGAGTGGGAAAAAAAAAAAAAGAGTCAGAAATTTAAAATACAAACTTTTTCAAACAGCAATCTAATTTTAAAACCAAAATGTTGAAAAGTTCAATTATAAACATAAACAGTAAAATAATTATAAAGAGTAAAAAGCTGATATTTTCTAGATTGTATAATAATTTTCAGGAATTTTTATAATATTAATAGATAAATAAAATACAACAGTTTCTTCTAACATTTAGAAAACTAAAAGTAAAATTAAAAGATAACAGTAATCTTTCCATGAACTTTTTTTTTTTTTTTTTTTTGGTCCTTTTTGTGACCGGCTGCACCACGCTCAGCCAGTGAGTGCTGTGAGCGCACGGTCATCCCTATATAGGATCCAAACCCGCGGCGGGAGCGCTCCTGCACTCCCAGCGCCACACTCTCCCGAGTGCGCCACGGGCTCGGCCCTCATGAACTTTTTGATATACTCTTGTGTATGTTCAGTTACATAATCTCTCATTCTCCTACACCAAGTATTGCATGAAGCCTTCTAAATCAACAGAAGTACAAAGCTGATCATTGCCAAAACTCTATTTTTTGTTGTAAGTTATTCCCATATAAAAATTTATGATAGTCATAGCTACAACAAAGTAAAAATACTAGATTGTTAATCTGTAGTAAGTCTACATCAACTTAGATTTTTCCTCTACAGAACTCAATAATACATACTTAAAATGATTACTTCATTTTCCACGTTTCTCGGAAGGTATGTTTTTCAAACCCAAGAGTAATAATACAAATATAAAATTGGTTTTCGAAAACATACTTGGCTTATCTGTCTCTAGTTCTTAAAAATGGTTTCTATGTTGCTAAAGTCTTACTGCACAGTGAAGATCACAATCAAACTGGCAAAAGCAGAAATGTAACCTCTATGGGAATACTTAATTTTGCACGTCTTTATGCTCTGGTGTTTTAAGTGTAGACAATTACGAAAACTATCTGCTAATTCCAAAAACTAATTCAAAATGGATTGGTATAACATACTGTATTGATTCAGGCTCTTTACCCACTAAGAAATCTGTATTTTCCTATTCCCTAATCAGCATGTTTGAGATTGGTTCCACTCTTAAATGTTCTAAGCCCCATCATTACAACCCTCTCTGAGAGCTCACCCTTGCCAACAATTTAACTCATTCTAAGGGTTTCCTAGTCACCATTTCCTTATTTCTAACTGCTTCTGACTTACCACCACTTACACACTGACTTGAAATAAATACAAAACTAAATTCCCATAAGGTGAACTTCTTCCCTAATGTCCCTATTTCCTTGGCTGTAGTGCTACTCCTGCAGTTATACAGACTCAAATCTGGCTCACATTAGTGTATTATATGAACAGAGTAGTGGACATAGGATTAAACAGACCCAATTACTTTACAACTTGTACGAGGAGAGTTTTGACAGGTTAACTTTTGTGAGCTTCAGTTTCTTTGCCTGTTGTTTGAATAGCTAAATAAAATAATGAAAATACCTACCACAGTCATAGAAGATACTCAGTACCCGACTGTTCCTTCTCAATCTTAAGTCCCACTCATCTTTCTTTCATATTAAACCCTTAAATTGCCTCCTCTTCGCTATTTTCAATTATTCTAATCAAATTATCAGGTTCCTGGATTCCTGAGGAGGCTTAATAACCTTATCTCTAGTATTTCCTGCTTTTCCATAACTTACATAATCTTACTTATAAAGCATATTTGCTTATTTACTTACATATTAATCTTATCAAGTTACCAGCCCCAAAACGTACATGGACAACTTCCCATTGCCTCTCATACAAATTAAGACTTGCACTCAAGACCTTCCATACACCAATCCCATCTCGCTCCCAATTACCACCCTTCATAAGGCTAGTAACTGTGTGACTGTGGTCAAGTTATTTAACCACTATGTGTTCATTCTTTGTCAGACTCTATCTCTTAGAGTTAAGGTTAAACAAGAGTAGACTTAGAAAAGTACCTGGCCCACAGTATTTTCTTAGTTTGCGGCAGAGTTATGCATTGCTAATGAAGCTTAACTTTCAGCATCTCTCACTAGAACAAACCCCTTCAAAGTAATAGGAAGGGCCCCCAGCAAGTGTGTATCTGTAATTGTACATTAATATCTTATAGAGGACCCAAGTTACACATAAGCTTCAGGACCCTTTACTCAGTAAATGTCAGCTGTTATTATTAGACATGCAAGACAGGTTTTTGCCTTCTTTTCTCTCATAAGGTTCCCTCACTCTTCTCCATTTAACAAATACAGGCAAGTCAATATGCTAGACAATGAAGGAGAATCAAAGATTCCTGTTGCCAAGAGTTCATCTGGCACAAATTCAAAAGAAAAAAATACATTTAGAATAAGAGTCACAAGCAAGTTTCAAACAAAATGCTACAGGAGTTCAATGGAAAAAGATCTTAAATTATTGGTGAAATAAGAAAAGGCCTTATGGAAAGAACAGTATTTGAGATGGACTCGTAAAGTTGGACAGAATTTCAGCCAACAGGTATGTGCAGAAATAGAAGATAAGGTAAATTACCACAAAAGATGGAGGGAATTCACAAGAAGTGGAATGAGATTTATCTTATGCAGGCTTAGTTGCTCTCAGGTCCTACTAAGGCATGAGTCTTTTCCCAACCATGATCCATCCTAATATTTGTTATAACCACCTAGAATTATTGTCTAGCCAGTATTTTTGGAAGCTATACCCTTAAGAAGTGATTCTCTAAGAAATATGCTTCATAGATATTTCCATGTATTTCAGATTACCATATAGAAAAAAAGCCTTTGGACTATTATATTTCTAATATAAATTCCTCCACCTCCCAGTCCAGATCCACTCCACTTTGGGGCAGGGGTAAGAAACAAAACAAATTGGTAATGGGACTTATCTATATCCAATAGAAGGAAAAGAACAGATGCTGAGTTCTAACTCTTGTTTAAATTACCAAGTGAATACAAGGGACTCAAATATTTAATACATACTTTAAACTTAAAAACATTTACTCAGTATGAGTATATATATTCAATATAAAATACTCTGTATTAAAAAGCTTCCAGAAAATATTATATATAACCATAAATTGTTAAATAGGAAATTTCCCTCATCACTGTTAAAAATAATACCAAAAGCTTTATTCCTGTTGATTCTACATATGCAGCAACAGTCAAAATTGAAGCCATTCATCTTCCATAAAAGTGGTCAAATATATTTCTATGCTTTTAAATACTGAGGAGATAATCTTTCCATTTTTTGTTCTACAATATACCTGCTACACTATTCTGTATACAGTAAATACTCAGAGCACTGGATACTTTTTCCACCAGTCACTCCACTCCCCCCCAAAAGTGATAATCAGTAAGTCAAAAGTACAGCTGATTTTGTAAAATACTTAACACCACCAAAAAAAAACCTAATATGGCCGTCTGCTTCTCATCTAATGAGTAAAGTGATGAAATTATCAGAATCATTGAGAAACAAAAAACTCATTTCATAACTATTCCCGTCTGAAAACGTATACAATTATACAACCTGTTCAAGTACAAATTTTTAAATTATAAGATACATTTAATCTAAAGAAACCCTGGGGAGCTTCACTTCACTGAAATCCTTGAACTGATACTTCAAGAATGATCACAATATCCTCACACACCATAATTTTTCTGCTATAGAAATGAAAGTTAACATTTGAAAATCTTAGTCCTGACATACTCATACCTTTCCTAGGCCCTTTCTCATCAGCTTTCTAAAGACATTATAAAACCTTAATATGAAACGATTCCACAAGTGATATCCAAATGCTTTGCCAAGGTATGGAATACTGGAAACAGGATGATTTCTTAATAGTCAGTGGCTGCACATGACCCAGTATCTTATGACCAGTTTGTTGAGTTACTGGCCCCAGCTCCCCCTCTCCAAGTTAACTGCTAGCTCCAGCCATTTCTAAAAGTTTAACAGTTAGGAAGATGGAAGTCAGAAAGGCTGTGTGAATCTTCTCACAGCAAAAGCAAACAAAACAAAAAAACACACTATGTAATACCAAAAAATCACCCATCTACTGTCCTACAGATGACTATCTATTTTGCTAAAATTTTGAAAAATGGGTTTTAAAAATTACAGAAAAGGTAAAATGTCCTTTCATTACACTGGATCCCTTACTGCAAAAATATATTATTAAATAATGCTCTTCTTCTTGGACTAAAGGTCAGTCTCCATTACATGTTCCAAGTTACTATGAATATTTCTTGTCCCCATCACGTGCCGATTCAATAGCTCTTTTCTGAAGTGGGGTAGGGCGTGAGGGGAAAAGTACAAAAGTCCTCCACACTCATGTCTCTCTCACTACATCTAACCTGGTATAGTTTACCGCCTCAAATTTCAGCACCAAGCCGAGTGGCCCCGGCTTCTGTCTGAACAGCAGAGCTCCCCCAACCCTACTCTGCTCGGCATCTCCAGATTAATTTCATTTAAGAGGTTTGATTTGAACCGCCCCACGCCCACTAGTTCGGACACGGCCGTTGCCCACCCCAGATTTCTATACACGGGACAGCTGCCGCCCTGGGTCGCAACTTCCCGTGCGCACATCGCCTCGCAAACTAGATCCCGGGTGGATACACGATTTCCTCGGTACTCGGCCGCCGCTGACGAGCCCCTGGGTAGGCGAGGAGGACAGTTCGCCTTCTCCCCCCACCCCACCCCTGGCCCAGGCATTCCTGCGGCAGTATTCAGCCCCGCACCCCTCTACATTCCGCAGCCCCAGCCCTCGGACTGTCCGTGCTTGCCGCCCAGCCCCACCCCATGCCCTCAGCGGCTCAACCGGCGGCAGGTGAGTCTGGGCAGGGGGCTCTTAGCCCCGCGGGTTGCTCACCTTGCTGAGGACCCCACAGCGCTCTATAGGGGGCCCGGATTCCGTCTCCGGATCCTCCTCTGAGCCTGACGAGTTCCAGCTCTGGTTATCCGACATGGAGGCGCGACAGCCGAGCAGGAGACCGGCCCCCGCTCCCTGAGCTGCGCCGGAGGAGGCGCCCTGTCCCAGGGGTGAAGGGTCGAGGGATGGCGAAGAGAGGAGTGCCCGCTCTGAGGGGGGAGGGCGCAGGAGGAGGGACGAAGTCCCCCCGCCGCGGCGCCGCCGCCGCCGCGCCTGACACCGAGCGGACCGGGGAAGGAGAACGAGAGGCGAAGGAAGCCTGCCCTTCCAGCCGTCAGCCGCCGTCGTCGCCGTCGCCGTGACCGCTGCGCTGCGCCCGGCGCCGCCACCCGAACTCAGCCCCTTCGATGCCAATCTCAAACAGGGAAGGAAAAGCAGAGGAAGAGGAGAAAATACAGCTGCAGAGACCCGAGTCCACTCACACCTCCGCTGCCGCCGCCATCTTCCTGCCTGGCCCACTATTTACCCTCCCCTCCCTTTCGTCCTCCCATTCTCTCCTCACTCCCCGCCCCGTCCCCCTCCCGGCGCCAGACGAGACACGCTGAGGGCCCGGGATCCCCCTCCCGCACCCTACCTTCGGCCCTCCCGGGTGTCGACGGGTAGAAAAGTAGGAGGAGCGGAGGAAGGAGGGGACTGGATAGGGAAGCCGCTGTGCTGCATTCTGGGAAGGGCGCTGCCCGGTCAGCCGCGCAGCCTCCTGGGAGTTGTAGTGGCGATCCTGAGGCAACCGGTGAGTGTCCCGCGCGGGGAAAGTTTGTCACCTTCGGGACTGTCAAGCAGCGGGTGGGCTTCGTTTGACAGTTGCGTGGCCCGTTCCCCAGCTTGGCGCTGTCCTTTCCTAGCGTGTTTATGACGAACCCGCCAGGCTTGCGGGCCCGGACGTGAGATAACTCTTGGCTGAGGATGTCGGGCCTGCTTACCGTGGCGGCTTTCCGAAAGCCCGGGAGCATGTTGCCATTTGTGGGTGCGGGAATGTATTCGGTACCTCCGCCTCAGCTGCGGGCTAGGGGTTTGTGACCTCTCTAGTAACAAGAGGGCTTTCTTTCCTCCAGACCACCACTATAAATTTCTGAGGTCTTCTGTCTTGTTCTTTAGAAGTTAGACCTCACACTTGACGTTTCCTGAATTTGAATGAAGTCCCTCAGTCCCTTCTCACCAGCAAGCACTTTGCATTGTTACATTTCTAGAGGTTTTATTTCGTGGAAAGTAATTTTGAGATTGTCAGAGAATAAATGACTTTAGAAGAGTTTTAAAAGTAGAATAAGAATGTCAGATGATATCCTGGAGTTTTCTTTTAGTTGTAAATGAGTATCTTCCTGAGTCCCAGGTTAATCATCTCTACCTGTCTACCGCTCCCTGAAAGATACGAAAGGTTGGAATAAACTGTCTTGTATAAGAAAGACCGAAGTGCAATCGTTTTATTGAGTAATAAGGCATTAGACAATAGGAAGCTGGCTTTGTTTTAAGACTAGAATTTAAGTAGTGAAAAGACCAACAGACGATCTAACAGATCTTGTCAATCTTTTTGCATACATTATAAGGTTAAGTTTTATTGTGAGACCTTTCATTTTGTAGCTTCAGTTCTTTTCTCTCTTTAGCTACTTTTATATCTTGTCTATTTCCTGATAATTGCCCACATATTAAACCTTAGAATCCCTGCTTATTACAGCGCCCGGAAGATAAGAGTAGAAAATTTTGAGTTTAAGGGAAATGGAACAGTGGCCGGAAATAACTCTGATAGAGATGGAGAGAAGCCAATTTAACGGGGATCTTTAGGAAAAAACAGAATACTAGAAGTGTCTCTGAGAAGTACTTACGATCTCTTTCATCCCGGTATATTGACACGTGTAGATGCTGAGTCTGCTGTAAATCAGTTACAAATCATTTTCCCATTGTGAAATTGTGATAATGCCTAATTGAAAACCCTTCAGATGAACAAAACCGTAAGAGAGAAAGCTTTTGAAAAAACTTTGTTAACATTTTAAAAGATAGTCCCAAGGTTGTCATTCAAAAAAGAGAGAGAAAAACCCACTTACCACATTTTTTCTCTTTATTGAATTACAGATAAATTCACTTCATAAAGCAATTTATATGGGAGCATAGTATATTTTTGTTTTTAAATTGAACTTTCTATTGTAATTTATGCTTTTCTAAGTTATGTGTGATTGTAACCACCAGCACTTAGATCACCAAGGTGCCCACGTACTCAGTAGGAAATTGCTTCTTCGTAATTAGGGTTGATATGAGAGAAATTGCCATTTTTGGAAAGGTTCTTGTTACATTATTCCTTTATACTTATAAGACAAATATTTTTAAGTACAGAAAGATTGTATAATGATTAGAATACCACATTAGTAGTTGAGATTTACTTCATTACTATTGATGGAAAAAAATTGCAATACAAGAATAAAATACAAGAGCTTTTTTTTTTTTTCCTTTTTGTCTTTTTTCGTGACTGGCAACGGATCGCAACCCTCAGTGTCGCACCAGTACGGGACCGGGACGGCAACCGGATCGCAACCCTCGGTGTTGCGCCCGCACCTAGCTCAGCCAGTGAGCGGCTGGTCTGTATGTGGGATCCGAACCCTCGTTGGGAGCGCCACTGCAGCAGTGTGCCACCTGGCCGGCCCTACAAGAGCTTTTTTTATTCAATGGTGAGAGTGATGGCTTTTGAGTTTTCTGTCTTCCACAACACTCTAATAAATGTTTTATATTTTCTCTTTTATTATTTGTTTTTACTTTTAGAACTTGAATCCATCTGGGATTTTTTTTGTAAACAGAGTAAAGTAGAAATTTAATTGTTTTTTTAAAGATGACCACTTGGCCTAACACTTTATTGAATAATCTATTCTTACCCTTAGACTTTATGATATGCAAAATCCTCATATCTAGGCCTTCTCTTCTTATAAGGGCAGTAACCCTTATGACTTCATTTAACCTTAATTACCTCCTTATAGGCCCTATCTCCAGACACTCACAGTGAGGGCTAGGGCTTCAACATATGAATTTTGGGGAAACACAATTTAATCCATACTAGAACCCATAGTTTCTATATCCCCACAGTATTATATTAAAGATGCATTTTGTGTTAAATAGTCATTAGATAACCTGCAAATTTAGCTGTTCTTTATAGCATTGTTTCTACTTCCAAACTGAATTATAACCAGTTAAAAATTGGGAATTTACATAAGAAACATGATTTTGCAAACTTAGAAATAGAGATGTTAATTTATGAAACAGAGTTAATCTATGAAGAGCAGCAGTCTACAAACTAGAAGACAGTTGGTTATGGTGCTGATGACACCAAGGTCCTGGGTTTGATCCTGTGCAAGCCAGCTGCCACAAAACAAAAACTAGAGAAAAAATGAACAAAATACTTGTATAGCATGTGAATAATACAGTTGGGTTTTTTTGTCCTTCTTTAATGTCTTGAGTAACTATCTTGGTGGTGAAATTATTGGCCATTTGGGTTTTCTTTTTTGTACTGTTTTGTATGGAAAAAACCCCAAATATGTATCAATATTGGTGTATCTATGTGTGTATGTGTATATGTATCATTTTTGTGATAGAAGAAAAGGTAATTATAAGTGACATAAATTAGTTAAGGTGTTTCTAATAACACCTTCACCTTCAGAGTCTTCTAAATTAATTTTCAACCTAGAGTTGTTCGTGTTCCTGGTTTTCCACATATTTTTCTCTTCACCATCAAGAGAATTGATAATTGCAGTATTTGTTAAGAATGCCCCATCATTGTCTCCAGGTGTTTTTTCCCCAAGCTGCTGTCACCCATTCTTCATGTTTTGATGCATTAGGTAACAACAATTATGTCAAATTGCTGCCTAACCAATAGGGATTATATGAGGCATCCAGTTTTAGAAATGTTAAAATGTGAAAAAACGTGTGTCCTTGAAGCAGTGAAATATGGTAGTTGTTTTTTTGTTTGTTTTTGAGAGTGTTCCCATATTTTTCCTAAGAGGAGCACTATTTACAATTTTTGTAATATTCACGCTGTATATACCACTGGGCGAATTGCATTTTTGATTTAACACTATATTGTGAACGTTTATTTCATGGCATTCTTTTTAATGACTGCATAGAATCTTCTTTTGATGGGCAATCAAAATTTTCCATTTTTTGCTCCTGCAAAAATGCTTTATAAGGAACATCAGTTTAACTTTATTTTTGTACACTTGTCTCACAGCTTTTGGGGGTGGGGGGGTGGGGGGTTAATTCCCAGCAGAGGACTGCTAAAATAGAGAATACATACATTTTACAGTGTGATACCATTAAGTTGTCCTTCAAAAAGGTTACATTAGTTTACACTCCCCAATAGTGTGTCTGAGTGCTCCCTCTTCACTTCAAGACAAAGGATAGTGGTAAGATGGCATCTAAGCAAGCTATTGTTAAGGAGATTGTGGCAGTGGAGATTACAATTTCAGAATGAACCACATTGGGAATAATGACCAAAGAGTTTATTATGGTTGACCAGTTGAGTACTTTACTATTATTTTTCTTATCAAGGCTCTTTTGACTGAAGGAGGCATAAGGTAACTCAAATAAGAGAGGGTTTGTTGTAGAGATCTCAGAATCCTCAGCAAGGCCTAGTACATATTGGAAACTTAGAAAATGAAGACTTTATGTTTTTCTGTTCATCTTTGAGGCCTCATGGTATCTTTCATCTCTGAGTTCTTATGTTCTCAGTCTGTCTGTTTCAACTCTCATCTTGCATGTTTTCCAGCCTGGTTTAACTACCTTTCAGTTTCTGGGCCCTCTCAGTGTCTCCTAGTTCAAATTCTTAAGAAGAAACAACCAGTGCTGTAATCAGTTTTTCCCAAGAGTGTGGAATATAAGACTACCCCTTCTGTCGTTTGTTGGGAGTGGGAGCCTGATTAGAAACAGTATGCAGCATATCTAGTACATATAATTTTCATTATACAGTTGGACCTCGTATGAAGGGTTCCACATCCATGGATTCCACGTGTGGATCAAAAATATTTGAAAAAAAATAAAAATAAAAGATAATACAACAATAAAAAATAATACAAATTAAAAATAATAGAGTATAACAGCTATTTATATAATATTTACATTGTATTAGGTATTTTAAATAATTTCAAGATAATTTAAAGTATATGGGAGGATATGCGTAGGTTATATGCAAATACTATGCCATTTTATATGAGGGACTTGAGCATCCACGTATTCTGGTGTCCACTGGGGTTCCTGGAACCAATCCTCCATAGATACAGAGGGATGACTGTCCTTAGTCTGTTTCTAATAGTAGGGGTAGGCAAGAAGGAGTTCCGAGAGAAAAAATCATTTAATGTGTGAAAATCCATTTTCAAGCACCACACAGATATTGATTCTTTTCAAGGGCATACTAGCACATGATAAATGCTTAAATGGATATATTAGTCTTCACGTGTTATTTTCTCCCACTAGAATGTGAGTTTCATGGAG